GTTGTTGCGTACATTTAGACAATTCACAGAGCTGTATCCGTCTGTAGATGTTCATAAGAGATAGCGCGCCTATTATGCGGGGACCCTTGATGACTTCGTACCAGCATGTTGATGTGAACGATCAACAGTTATAATTTGATACGGTATACTGAATGCTACGATGAACATAGCAGTGTAATATTTTCCTACTCGGTAAAGTTTAAACAGTTAGATAAGTACATTATCACTCTCTAATGATATGAGATTATGACAATACTCTGATACAAAATAGTTATCAAATTTTGTGTAAATTTGCTGCACAATAAAAATTATCGTGACTAAGTCTATTAAAGGGCCAATAACAAGAGTAAATCCGATTATACAGTTATATCAAAATTAATTCAGACTTGTGGAAGATATCATACACACAAAAAATACAGGCAAATAAAGAATCGTCTTTTTTCGTAGTTGCTTACAAAATATTCAAAAGTAATAATGTAAAACATAAACTTATTATATTGTATTAAAACAAACATACAAATAAAAATACAATAAATAGATAAATACTTGTTTCTACCGACAAAAATTGTATAGTGAAATAAAACAAACAGGATTAGTTGCGTTGCACAAACCCCTGGTTTCATTATAAACAGTGGGTAAGCGGATCGAGCACGTGCAGTGTTTTTATCAATGAGAGCCGGCGGGTGTGGACGCACCCTAACGCAAGGGTAAACAGTCCTCCGCCCCGCGTATGAATAATTTGAAAGCGCATCAAGACGAGGGCCAGTGGCGTGGACGGAATCGCAATAACCCCTAAATTATTAAATTATACGGCCAAAGTACAGTAGCGGGCGGCGGATTTTATTCTTTGTTTATTAATTGGAGTCTTTTATGACTTGTTTTTGTACTAATATTAAAGTTGTAGTGGTTGGTTTGTTTGCGTAAACTATTGATTTGTGTAATAGTCAATATTAATAGTATACATTTTAAAACTGACGATAACCTAGTTTATCTATATGTTTTTATTTTAAACTGATGTTTTAGGTTGCCAGTTACAATAATAGTTTCACGTAATTTAAAGGGCTTATTATGTAATCATATATATATAATCATAATATCATTGCTTACATAAAAAATTTGACGTTAACTTATTATATTGACATGACTATGATCCGTCCGTACTTTGTGATCTTACTGTTATTTTAAAGCTATATAAACGTAATTTTTTTTTATAGATATTAAAAGTAACTTCAATAATCTGTTTAAAGGGGAATATACATACATATATTGTATATTTAATTTGAGTATGCCCCTTAAGTAAGTGCAAAAATTTTATGAGTAAATCGGTATCTACTTGTTTATTTATAGATATTAAATTATTGCATTATTTATCAATGAAATGAAATGTATAATTAAGCATCGTTTTGATTGCACTATATTATTTTTATCGTCAGTAATTAAGATTACGAGCTTATCGAAGCGTACAGTTGGCCTATATCAAAGAACTACAAACATTATCAAACCGAACACCGAGTTCCCGCATCATTGATATTTCATAACGAGCGTGTCAGCGGAGGGTGGGAAATGCGTTGGGCGCTGGAGCGGACTCAGCGCCAGGGGTGTCAACACTCATAAACCTCGACATAGTATTTTATCGACATCCCGCCGCGTCAAGCTCGCACTCCGCGCAACCCTATTGTCTCTCAACATTCGTGACACTTCATGATAGCACTCCACCACCGTTATAAATTTATTACTCTTCACTTCACCCGTTGTAGAGAGCATCCGATTTGCATGTTGCGAGCGTTATTAAACTACTAGCTGTTACCCGCGGCGTCGCGTGAATATACTGGTAAGTACTTAATTTATTCCAAGGGAACACATTTTAATCTAGTAGTATTGAAGTCTGTATCATCATAGTATATCAAGTTGCCATGTCCTTTTCCATGATAAAAAGGTGTATGCACAAGTTTATAATTGGTTAAACTGTCAAGATGAGAAACTAATTTTCATATTTATAATACTCAGTAAGGGTTCTGTATATAATTATGACAGCAATTTAAAGATTGACAGTGAACATGGAAACCGTTGCTATAATCGGCAGCGTGAAAGTCAGCTCGGGCGTAAATAATAGCTCGAAACACAGAACAATAAGTCTTCGTGTCGATATAGTAACACAAAGACGAAACAATCAATTCACAGCATAAGTAGGTGTGATTGGACACGGTCTGACTACGACTTGACTCCGAGACTAACAAAAGAAAATCTAAGCAATTAGTCGCCGTCAGAAAGAGCGGAAAACGCGAGTTAGACGCGGTCACGGAGACGAATGCGGCGCGATCACGACGCGACGCGCGGATGATTGTTCAGCGCAGAGCAATATTGCATCGAGTACTAAATAGACAAAACTAAAACATTTTTCCATTGCAATGTGGATACTGCAATATAATTTATGAGGATACTACCTTTCTCCATTTAAAAAAAAATGGCATTTTTGTGGACTAACCATGAAAGGAGAACTTTGTAAAGAGTAATTAACTAAATTGATTTATAGATGTCAATAATTTGACAAGAGGTTCTATTCATAAAAAAACAATCTGCTATTATTAAATTACTCACTCGTAAAGGTTAGAAATACGTGATTTATGAGTATAATTTCAAATTAGCTGAACTGTCAGACGCTAAATTTGTCTATGGTAAATTTGTATACATTTTTCTGAGATTGTTTTGTAAATTTTTGAAAAGCTATTAAAAATATGTATATACAAACTGTACGTAATTATATATGTAGATACAAAAAAAATAATCGTAATATATCTCTAACACATATATACTTTATTCACATATATCATACTATCTAAGGAGTAGTTCAATTTCACTTGTCAAATGTTAAACATCAACCTGATTTTATTGAGTCTTCAATCTGAAATGATAATCGCGTGAAGACTACCAATAAACTAGCACTATAGAGCAGAGACAAAAATATTTAACATATTTTTATAACATAACGTTTGCATGAAGCGCAATAAGAGCTTAACAAAGTTGGAAGGGTAACTACTCTGGTTCTCGCTCCACTGAGCGTGTTAAGTGATAATGTAATAATCCATTACAATGAAGCGCGCCAGTATACGCTAAATAGCGCATTCAAGCATTGAGCTGAAGGAGGCCGCCATCTGTCCGCCACAGAGGCAAACAATACAACCCTTCGTAATCACCCTCGTTGCTAGTTTGCCAGACCCTAAACAAATATTAATCGTAGTGCCGTCGCCGGATTTATCGTGCTGCAGAACTTGAAAGGTTTATTCGTCATAATAAAAAAAATATATCGAGCGATTTAAATAAAGAACACCACCCGTTCGATCGTCGATTTTATTTGCATAATTGGTACAAGTTCTTGTTCGCCAGTACTTTTGGAATCAATGAAAGCTTTAGTCATTATAACCCCGACATGGCTTCTGATTAATTAAGGTTATTAACCTTGAACCATAAACGGGTATCGTCATTTAAACGAGCGCAATTAATATTCGATTAAAGCAGAAACATATGTTTCGTATTAAAAAATTCACATGGGAAATAATGTGTGAAACTGTATTTCATAAAATGTTAAATATTGATTTTATTTCATATTTGAAAACGTGCTAAAATATAGCTATAATTAAAAGGAGGGTTATAATATGGCGCCCGCCCTAGGTCTAGGGGCTGTGTTAGCGAGCGTAAAATCAACAGATTACTACGGAACCCCTGCAGATCAAGGGTCGCCTACGGCTGTGAGAAGACTCTGCAAGATATAATATCTATTGGCAGCGACAAACTTTTAGGGTTGTCAATAAGTCTATACATATTTATTTCTTTTACTCTTATATATCATCTCGTAATTTGCATGTTTTACACAAAGTTTGTCTGTAAAAGATTGCTGTAGCGATAACATATTTAATTGTACTCCAAGTGCTGTCCATTATTTTCGTTTTATTCATAAAGTGTAAGTAAATAGAATATTGTATCCTTACATTCAGGTGTCTACACTTAACATAAGTACATATAATAATGTTTTATTACAGATGTAATTTATATATTTGTGGTAGAATACATATTTATTGCTTTAAAATATTATCTTTATAATACTGACACTGCCTATACCTATTTAAAAATAACGTCGGCAATTGAACTTTTAACTTCCAATTTCTGACTTTAGAAATAGGTCTTATCAAAACTAATTATATAAAAGTGTTAGTTAATATCTTTTATCTAATTGTAATATATATTAATTATTTTTGGTTTTTTCAATCTCCTTACTTAAATAGACACCCTATTTTTATACATATTAATCTCTCTTTTGTAATGCTAAGCGTCAATAACAGTAACTTATAGGTAGTGGATATACTGGTCGCACAGTACCTAGGGGAGCTTGTTCAATGACGCTCCCCCACTAATATTACGATCGTAATGTATTGATAAACGCCATCACAACATTATCGTAACCGCCGCTACCATGATTGTCAGACAATTTATTATTTTCATTTTGTAAAGAGCGCGAAGCTCTAAAATTAGGGTAACAAAAATAACTTTGCGAAACATTTGTGAAAATTAAAAACCAAAACGTCAACAGAACAGTTTGTGCAGAGAACGCCCCCCCCCCCCCCGCTCCCTACTCCTCCCGACCTTCGCAGTCGACAAACAACCTCAAACAACCCCCGTGGCCGCGGGGTGCGCTGTCAAACAACGAAATCCAACAAACAGGCACAGCGCAATAACACGTTTTTTTACTTTTACAACATTTCCCTCAGCGCCAATTTGCCCGACCGCTAATAAAATACACCTTTCCTCCTTTCGGCACAATATTCGTTACAAAAAAATTTAACGTTATTGGAATATGGAAATTTATTAGTACATAAATTAAATCTATTTAACAAAGTTTGCTCTGCGAACTTATTAGACTAGCTCTATTATTCATTTATAATTATTAAAAAAATTAGGAATACTATATTTTTAATATCTATAATATAAAATGTAGTTGTACATACCTGTTTATGCATTTCCACATTGAGGCCGTAAGACATTTCATAGTACTGAAACATAAACAAGAAGCATTAGTCGAATCGATTACAATATGTGTGAAAATGTAACATCGGTAGTGTGACATGAAAGCTTTTGGCACAGATTGGCTTCCTCAAATTATAGGAGGCGAGTGACCAAACATCCGCAACGGCGCAGTTTGGACGCGGGCCAGAAGTGTTCTCGACACATAAAAATTCTCTAAGAAAATTTTCTCTCAAGCGTATTAAAATAAATTGCGAGCGATTTGGCTACACTTAATCGTGATTCATATCTGAACGGAGCGCATATTCAGGGATTAAAGCATGCCAAAATACGCTATACATTTTCCTGACAAACGCAGGCATGTTATTGCGAGAAACGTTCAGCTATCAACGCTTACATATGTTTTCAACGGATCAGACGTAATCATTAGTTTGATTAATAGCCTAATAATCTTATCCATAAACATTACTCTGTGTTTCTGGTTAGTTTTGATATCAGTATTCACATGAAAAGAATCCTTATAAACATTTCGTATGAACAACTCATTCGGTCACGGCCAGCCCGAGTGGACGAAATGGATTGATCCAATCGAATAGAAAAATAATAGCCGACATGTGGGCGTTGAACAAAAGAAACATATTTTATTGATTATACACGCCAGAACGAATGCCACATTTGATAAACATCTCTATCCAACCGTTAAATTAGTTGCTCCCTTCAATGATTCCAGCTGATAAATTGACGTATATGTTTCCAGTAGGTACTAGCGTTTATTGCTGTTAACTCCCTTATTCACGAAAACGTCAAACATTTTATAAACGTATTTTAGCTATCGAACTATTGTCTTTTTCTTTTGTGCTAAATTCCCAATTTACAAAATAATAATATAAATAAATAAATAATAATATAAATAATGATATAAATATAATTGTTACTCACCATAACATAATGCCTCTGTATTTCAATTTTTTCACTAGCCAATTTTTCACATTCTAATTTTAAACTGTAACAAATGAAAAAAAAAACGTTATTACACGCTTAATGGGGTTCGAGAGAGAGAGAGGTAATTTTTGGTAATTTAGCTATAAACGGAGCTGTTAAACAAATTGTTATTTAATGTGCGTTATTAACCTACAATTACTTATAGATAATTAGTAGGTAGGTAGGCACTTAACAACCAAATCCCACGCACTCGACGTTTCTATTTAGAGAGCACTTGTAATTTAGTAAGATAAGAATTTATATATAACAAACAGCTTGTTATAAGAACTGTTATCGCTGTAGTAGGTCAGACTTGTTATGGTTAGTTTTTTATCGTGCCGTCGCGTCGTCGTTCGTCTGTTCAGTTTCTTTTCAAGACTCATACCTATTACAGATATATTTACATAATGAATAGATTAAGTTATATATTAGACAATCAAATATTTAATAGATGATATTCCATGTTAATTGTTAACAGTTTATGGTTATATAAGAACTTTATTAATTTCATCTTGTATTTATAACTTTAAGATTTATATCTTAGATTCTATATAATTAATAAGGTAATATTGGGTATATAAGGAAGTCATTTTGGAAATATATATCTGTATACATAAATATACTTATGAGTATTACATATCTTCTTATCTACCTAGATTTTTTTTTCGTTTTAAAAGCATTCAAGATAATTTAAAAAATTTGATTATCAATAATGTGACGATGGGTCGAAAGGTAGAGAATGTTAAAAGGGGCTGAGTTGAAGGGACAGTTAAATACCTAAGGGTGATTCCACTATATTCCGGTAACAAAATGCCGGATGAATTTTTTACTTTGTTTTTAAACTTTGTCAGTGTTACTACTATATCAGTAACATTTTACGGTAAACATTATATTCTTACTCATCTGGTAAGGAACTGTCTACATTGTACGTAACTTTACTATATATATATATATATACATATGTACTATATATATATATATACATATGTATAATAATAATATTGTTGCAAATTGTTAAACAGACAATTTGGAGCCAAAATATAAGTACACAGATGGTAACAATTACACGTGAACGACATAATAGTAGCTATTAACAAAAATACAATGTAGATACCCTAATAGCTCAGTAAAAAGAAAATGATTCACATTTTTTCTACATTAGTATGTATACACGTAAAAATTATTTGATATAGTTTATCATGTACTGACTTATCTATGTAACATAATACAACTTACTTATGATATTGTGCCTGAAGAAAATTAAATTCCTCTTTAATCCTATCACAGGATTCACCTACAGTAAATTTGATAGGTTGGCCGGGTTGCGGTGGACCCTGAAAAGAGAGAAAACAATATTAGAAAAAAAAATAGATAACCTTAGAATTCGTTCAAATCCTTGGTGCGTGTATATGCGAAGGGATGGGTAGTATATTTGTGTATGTGTCTAATCTATAAAAAATTTTATAAATATGTATATTTAAATTTTAATAATTTTAATACAATTATCATACTCCTATAAAAAAACTTATTTTCATATTTATAAAATAAGTATTATTATTATAAGTGAGCCTAATCCATGCGTAATATAGAGCCATCCATATATCTAAATAAAAATAAGCACCTTAAGCGAATGGTTTAAGTCAAATAAGTACTAGTCAATTGAGTTGTCAACTGAGAAACAAAAAATATTTGATGATATTGTGATTAATTATTAGAATGAATACGTAATGTCAATTGTGTCTATTGGCATGACGAAAAAGAATTCGAACCGAATTACATCTAAAATACTTTTGCCCGAATAAGCTGCAGGTTACTGCAAACAATTGTTTACGGTTGACATAAGTACAATCATATCGAAATATTAAATGCATGTAACGCGGGCACGATCACCACCCATCAATCTTGGTCTCGGCACAAAAACATTCCTATCACGAAACAAAAATTACACGCATCCCAAATTACCATAATACAAATTATCCTTTAATGACCATAATTCGGTGTGAGTCTCGATTAATAAAAAAAAATAAACAACGTCGACCGCTCGCCTCTTAACACAAAAATAAAGTAACGCGAACACGCGAGCACGTAATAATAAAGAAAAAAAACTAACTCCATAATAAGAAGCACGAAAATAAAAATAAAGCGAGGGACACAACAACACACGGTCGCCGGAGGCTGGCGGCAAAAAATAAATAACCGCCGCTCGGAGCCGGCGCGAGGAACAAACGGACTTTAAAAATAATAAAAGGAGCGTAAATAAAAGCGTAAAAGGAACTGCTGCGGCGTGTAGACGTTGTAAATGGAGCTGCGGACAATCGGGCTCTTAAAAAATGTGGCCGGGAATTTAGTGAATGTAACCACAGGAGATAGCCTTGCGGTCGGGCGCCTCGACACCGATGTGCATGCTGTAATGGGCGATCGCACTTAATAACGTAATAGGTACAACGTTGATAGTCTAACCGCAGCTAACTCTTGTTCACGTAGTAATAATTTTACGTTATAATATAGAATGGAATTCTATATTTTCTTATTTCTAATCACACTGAAATAATGGTCCAATTTAGAAATAAATCTAATTAGTAATATTATTTATAAAAGAGTTATAAAATGGCATTAATATTTTTTATCTTCCAAAAAGATATTTATCTAATATTCACTGATTCAGTATATTTTATACTACATCGAGAGTACTTGTACTTACACATATTTGTTTTTATGACCTTATCTGTAGTTTTAATGATATCAGTCTATACTCTAAACTTTTTCAATTTATGTACTATCAACCTATCTCATAAAATACCTCACGAAACGATTGGCCAAATGCTTATAAAATATATTCAAAAAACACCATAAGTAGGTTCCGACTCGTATAGTTGGCAATTACTTATCCATGTTCAAGTCTTTTGATCGGATAATAAAAAGCAAATTGAAAGTTACATACTAATGTATTTTGAAGGCAAGAACAAAACGATATCGACAGTAGCAGCCCGAGGCGTGTAGCGGCGCGGCGAGTCGGGCGCTCGCGTGTGGCATGCATGATGATATATCACCACACGACGCAAGACGCAACATACAGCGATGCTTTAGCGCGGCGTGACAATAAACTAAATACTAAAATCTTGCATCCGCCAATGCGTACTCACCTTAAAATATTGACTGACAACTAAAACGCTGATAAAAACAATTGTAAGAAATACAGCTTATTATTTTTCTGCTTTACTCAATGTTTGTAAGAACATAAATAAGACGATTACAAATTTTAAATTAGTAAGTAAATTCAGAAACGATACTGGATTGTTACCAAGAATCGGATCTAACTAACATTTAATATAATTTAACATTTATTATATTAACGTTACGTGTCATTAGAAGAAATCCTACTAATAACTGCTATAAATATGATAATTTTAATAAGACTTATTAATAAGTACTCTCATAAAATATTAGTAGAACGTGAATAATAAATACAAATAATATTTTTTATATTTTATTGATGCTGGATATCTACGAGGACACAACCCGTTTATGAAGCCTAAATCCGGAGGGCGCGACCCACTCCCCGCCATGCTTTTTATTTGGATACGTTACATACGGGTTAGCTTTAATTATTTGTTTTATTCTGCGTTTATCTGTGGTCCGCTAATGCGGCCGGCGTGTTTCGCTCACCGCACGTTGTAGTTAAGTGTTTTATGGCCGCGATTAAATCACCACATAAAATAACATTACGACGGGACTACATTCAATACATTGCAGTAATAAATTTGTATGTAGGCACTTACACGTCACACATTGCCTATTCTCAAGTGTCTATAATTGAGTATAACAGATTATTAATTACACGTTAATTTTAATTAACATAATAAGACAGTCTGGATATAACTTACACCATATTTTAGTTATATGTTAGTAGGCAAAGTAAAAAGCAGCACTTTTAAATTACATAAATTAAAACATCATAAAATAATAAGGCAACAAGAGGCAATTATTTTTCCGTCTAACAACATTCGTGTAATTAGGTATTATTAGCTTATAATTGAATGTTAGAGTAACGTCTAACGTGTACAAATTCCCACGAATTAATGTAACTTACCTATGTCTCACATAATAACCCTCGATCGATGTTTAACTTAACAGTCCAATTTCGATTATCCCAAATTCAAATCTATCACAAAAGAAATGAAAATAATCCACGACAATAATACACTAAGTAAACGTTCCCCTACGATAATAAAAAAAAAAGATTCTCATAAATTATCGCCGAAAAGGTCAAATTAAAATACAATGAGGAGTTTTTGAGTGGCAGTATTGTGTATAGGGTCTGGATGAAAGGCCCGCATCCAACAGCGACTAAGCACAAAAACAAAACTAAACAAAGTGCGTTTAAATGGATCTAAAAAGAAATACGTGTTCTTATTTCAAATTATTGAATAAGTCCGTCTGCCCACGTCTACCTGTACAATCAGGTGGAGATTTCTTTTTATTGGAATTCGAATTTTGGAAGGACTGAATGGATGGATTCTCTTTTGTTAATTTTTTTATAGGCTACATTCAAGATAAATGTCTGTAGGTAGTAAAGAGGCATTGCCTAAAGGTATCCTTCATATTTGTGTAAAACATTTTTTTTTTTACTGAAAAACATAAATAAGACCTTTTGAAGAAGAAATAATTGAATGAAAATTTTTAAAGACCAATTTGTGAAATGTGTGAAAAGTGAATCGATGTCAACTATTTATTAGTAATATTAGAGGCTTGCCCGTTCCACAGAAAGCACACACAAGTTCAGCGGCTCGGTAAACATCTAAACACCATTCGCACTTACAAACCAAACAAGCATAGACAAATATTTGAACACCGAGATTGGCTTTGTAACGTAACGCCTTAACGCTTAACTGTCCCAAGCCACTTTCTACTCTACGACAGTGTATTTAAAGTTGCAAATAGTTAATTTTAGATTTTATTGATTACCTATGTGTTGATAAAAAAAAATATTGGTAAACTCATATGGTAGCGCAGGGATCAGAAAGCTGAATTTATTATTTCAGAAACGTGATACCTAGAGCTGTACAATACGGTTGGTTAATATCCCATCGTAGTTGCTTTATGAAATTGAATTACATACAGGCCAATTTTAATAAGTACAAAATCCCCCACACTTAATAAAATAGTTTGACCCATAAACTAATCCAAAATTTTATAAATCTTCACATATACAGACAAATTTTAATGTCACATTAATACTTTTTGTGCACTAAAATGCAAAATAGAAGAATAGATCTAAAATGGCGTAACAGTCTTTAATATTAAAACAGTGAACAATATGAATAATTTGCTAAAATATTTTTAGCCATGCCTAGCTAATTTTGATACTTCTGTGCATCTGAAATTAGGTATCAAGTGATTTCTTTAAAAAGACGCCAATGTTAAAGATAAAAATATATTAAATTTACGTTTAGTTTATCGCGACGTCAGCAGCTGTATGCCTACTTAAGGTTTGTTTATAGTGGAAACTGCAGTCCCCATTGCTAACATATAACAGGCCTCTTACATGGTGTACCCTGCCAAATATATATTGATACAGGGATCCTACAGGGTATGTGATCGACTTCCAAGTCATCCTCTCTAGAAATCATTTTGGTTAATTCCTAATGAATTTGCCTCAATCAATTAACAACCGACCTCATTCCATTGTCACTTTCATCATCTATCATTTCCCGCCAGGGTAAAACAAATATCTAGTAAAAAGTTCAATCTAGCACGTCAGCGACCGTATAATAATAATGTTCCACATTCTGCAGACAAGTACTAAATTTATCTGTATATAAAAGTACATACAATGCGAAACACATCAATACCATCTCGGCTATGAGTTATGACGAAGCATTGTTTGCATAATCCATATGGTTTGTTTGTGCAAACTGATAACACTCCGCTACGAATGCTAAGAATTATTTTGGGCGAACATTGACTCAAGACACTTATCAAACTGATAACATCATTTGACGAGATACGTTTCCGCTGATAAAGTTAAACATAATCGTTAAGGTACTTATGTATACTTAAGACTTATGTCGAGTATTTCTTATGACAAGTCAACTTAAAGTCGTGGCCTTGTCTGTGTGATGGTTTATTTTGGTATTAAAAGATTTCATTGAGCTTAAATTGGGCACAGTGGTAATAAAGATTTTTATTCAATGTAAAATGCTCTTCAGTCATCATTTCAGCCTGCCAAAACTACTGGCAAAACTTTCCTTAGAAGACTTCCCCATAAAGGAAGTTTTGCCAGTAACTGCCACGCTTGGCAGGCGGATTGGCAATCGCAGTTAGAGATATTTTAAAAAGGGACGTTGTTGCCCATCCCTCTATAATTAAGGTGCCTTAGTCGCCTCTTACGACACCTATAGGAAAGGAAGGGGTGGCCTATTCTATATCAGGACCACACAACCAAAAGCACCATTAAAATGTTATTATATTTATTACTACTTTTGTCAACCTTATTTTCTTTTTCGATTTGTTCAAAATTAGTATAAGACGGTCTTTAAAGTAATAAAAAAAAATCGTAATTTCAGAATATTACTTAAATCGACTATCAACCTTTTTCAACGATTTTAAATAGTTGGTCAGTCCTAATTGCAGGCACCGATATTATGTATTTACCTGAACTCTAAATAAAGTACCTAAATGTACAATAAATAAAATGGTGGGATTACCATTTATTTTATTAGTAATTATTTGAATAACAATTTCTAGAACTCATCAAAAACTAAGTCTATTTTCAGACGACAGGCGACCCACGTAGGTTGAACACGCTTCTATGAATTTAATTAAGTACATAATTTCCTAATCAATATTACTTTGAACTGAACGTTGCAATAAAATTTGAAATTAACTGACATTAAAAAAATTAAAATAAAATGTTAATTATAGAATTTTTAAACATAATTTCTAACCTAAAAAGATGAATCAACTTAATTTTTTTTTTTGTATTTACTAGTGTTTGTATATTAGGAATATTTTATCAATCAACAAACCTAAAATAAAATAGTATAATTGGTTGGCAATTCAAAATTTTCAAAACAGAAACCGGAAGAATTTGATGAGCGACCATCTTACAAATATCATCCATCACATTTGTTCGTAGCGGTATCACCAACAGTCAAATATTGACCGAGTAGGACTCGACACGGATTTTGAACAAACATACAAATAGGCATTCAAGTTAACACCACCTCCCCCCTCTCTTTCGCCCCGTATACACCTCACTAGCACTCATAAAAGCGAAGTGAGCCGCATCGTAAAACATTCCTGGGTCATGTGAAATATCTACCTGACGTAACTTTACCAAATATTTTTTTCTGTAATAATAAGAATACAATAGAATTTCAGAAAATATGATTACTTGGAATAGCAAAAAAGCAGATGGTCAAATGGAAAATGATCGATGTCGTCTATAAACAAACAGCACTATGAGCATAACAAAATATACTATGACGCTCATGATACCTATAATGAGTTGGCAATCGACGTACCTATCTAATAACTTTCCTTTATTTGTCGTCTAGATGTATTACATTATAGTATTTTGTGCGTCTACCATTTTACCTACTATCTCTTTTTCATTTTGAACAAAATCTCAAAATATAAGTAAAATCTCTCTAAAATAAAGCTCCGTTACTTCTTTTACAATTTACACTTATGTTTATATTCGTATCCTACACCATCAATTAATTACGTATAGGTTGTTTCATTATCTGCAAATTCGTAGTAAACCCACAAAATCCTTTTGAACAAAATAAACCTATGAAAGAACGTGTGTAATGCGACTTCCTGCAAATTCATCATTCGTTGTGAAACAGCCCTAAAATGTAATACCGCCTTGTCCCGTTCAAAAGGAAATATAAAAAGGGGAGTTCAGATTGCAATAGTTAAGAAAGTCAACAATAAAATGTTACTGGTGTATTGTACGAGTATGTGCGCGTGAGAAATACATCGGCAATTATCGCAACTATTGTGTAGACAACACCGATCATTATGATTCGGAATACCTTTTATATGTAAGGAGCCTTATGGTAATCGCGTGACTGGAGGATAAAAACGGAGTAAGTAATAATTATTAAATAGGTGCAAGCGACAAAACGCTATTAGAGTAGTTAATTTAAATTGTATCATCACATTTCGCCACAGCGACAAAACAATTTTGTAAAATTGTTATTCCATTACAACTAAGTATTAATTAGTGTAATTAGCATATTATTTATTTTTCAATCGACTTCAAAAGCAGGTTACAAGTGTAGTTTTTATACAGGTATGTTTTAAAATATCCTCATTAATTTAAAACTGCTTTCGATAATTTCACGTGATGTCCGTCCGTATTATTGTTCATTTTATGTTATAGACGACAGTGGCCCTTTTTATCAAAAATTGATTGTTCCAAGTTGTTTAAAAAAAAATATTTCTAATCAAAAAGCATTTTCTTACATCTTGCCGTATTAATCTTATAACAAACTGTTAAAATTCAAATCTTTTTTTTTTTCGGAAATAAAATTTTAAATAAAGATTTAGATATTTGTATTTTAGATAAAGATCTTCGAATTTTTATTACTTAATATTATATAATTGTTAAATTCCCAAGAACAGTATTATATCATGTCATGATATATGAATTCTTACGAATTTCAATTCAATATGGAAAAAACATATTCGTACTGCACGTACGGATATTATAAATAAATAATTTTTAAACTGTGGTCTTTGTGGGGAAACGCAGTGACAGATGCGATGTGGTTTGCGGTTAGTCAGTTTGATCCTTTTTATGCAAAACTATACTCTTTATACAAAACAATAATGTTGAATTTTCTACAAACACATAATAAGTACTTCTATGCAAAGACAACACATGGTCCCTTTTGTATGCACTATGTATACCTGCCTATTTATATAACACAAATATGAAGATACCTACTGTATACAGTTTATGTAGTAATGCGTAAAAGGTTGATTTACAAAAAATGGACGGGAATCCTCTGCAGAGAATTTCATGGGTAATTGAGTGCGCCTGACAATGATCCGACGGTCCAGGTTATGTCGCGCCCCCACCGCGGGAGATTTAGGGACGCACATTTATGTTTCTATGTTAAAAATAAACGGTTGTTAAAATATTCTGTACCTTTTTCGACTATAATGTAAGGTATAAGATATTGTATATATATATATATATATACTAAAATTTTAAATACTTGGTAGACTTTTACAATGTATAAATATGATTCTTTTAATAAATACTAGCTAAACAACGATTTCCCTTGTAATAAATAGAACCTGTTGAGTGTTTGTAATTTAGTATTTAAAGTAAAAGTATTTAGTAATGTGCAAGTTAGCTAATACTAGTTATCTAATTCTTTCGTTGTTTTATAGTAAACAATATTAACTAGGTGTTAAATAAAATATGGATGAGAACTGAATTTTTCAAGTACTTAACAGTACGAGTCCCGAGTTAATTAACTGTATCCATGTATTAATAATGTGCATATGTCGCTCACCGGATGCCTAGCGGCCGCCACGGCAGCGGCGGCTGCGGCAGCGTTCATTGCGCCCGCGCTCGGATACATTCCCACGTCAAACACACGCGCTCATCGTCAGCAACACTATTAGTAAAACAGGACACAGCACACACACCACTTAGCACAAAAACAACACACGATTCCGCTCGGCCAGTCACACGCGATTCACTCGGAAAGATTATAATGTAACGACACACACCCAACCCGTACGGATGATAAAGACGAACTGGCGTGCGCGGTGGGTGGGGAGACCTCGTCCCCCTTACCCCATCTCCTCGGCATCCTGCGACCCCACGCTCGCATACCGTTGCCTACCATACATATTTTCTCCACTCGAATTTTTCGTCGACTATCTTCATGTTTGAGGAATACTTTAGCCGAATCGGAGATATACGCTCTAATAGATACGTATTATTTGGGGATTTTCTTAGGGGATGGTGTGGGGTGTCGGTGTCACGAGTTTTGCGATCTTGCTTGTGGCGTCAGTAGCGGCAAGCGACAACATCATTTTAACTTCCTCCGCTTGAACTTGGTGCTACAGATACCTATAGGTGCCTATTATAGCTTTGTTTAGTCAGTTTATGTGCGTTAATTGTGACAAGAAAATAAAAATATGTGAAGTTCTTAACAGTAATGATTTAAACATTACTGCAAGTTCACGTAATACTTTTTTTCTCCAAAAAAAAGTGAATATTAAGTTATTAGTAATAGGGTTTAAAAACTCCATTGCTAGCAATGCGAGTATCTCCCATCAGAATGACTTCCACACAGTTCCATGTATACATAAACAACATCATATCAGAAACACGAGTGGAATAGAGATAACCATGAAAAAGACTTGTGTATAAAGTCTCCCTCTAATATATAAAAGAAGCCATATATAATAGGAATATTATTTTGCTCTTGCCAATAAATGAATGAAAAAAAAAATTATTCATTTCATTGTATATGTAAAAAGAAATTTTCATTTGGCCGAACTTTTATGCGATATAAGCATACAAACAATTTGTTGTATAAATTTGGGTTTTATAACATCTGTAGTGTCGACTCAGTGGTGATATTATAGCCACTCAGAATTAAAACTTTTCTCTAATAAATAGATATTAATTTAGGAGCATAGATTTAGGTTTCTATTTTGAGAACTAATATAATTTCTTAATAAAATTGCCTGAGCTTAATGTGGTCTATTATTCAAATAATTTCCTATAATAATAAATAATTATAATTACATTAGTTTATATTACCGGTTTGTCAATTTGTGGTCGCGTAAAATGACGCGCGTGCCCTGTAACATAAACGAATCTAAATGGCTTCTTGTGTTCGTGTTTAATCTATTTACAAACTTGTACTGCGATAATTGTACAAAGGGGCATATTACACTATCAAATATATAACATATATCTACATCAATTCATCAATTTGTGAAGCTAGTAGGTATTATCTCCCAATCGAAAGTAAATTTACTTATTAATAAATTAATATAATTTTAACCCCAGAAATTTATTGTATTTATACTGTTCATTAATACACATGACATTTCTTTTATATAAAAAAGATTGCTCTCAGCAATAAGACCGCCTTACTGTACTTATACAATTGTATCGATGAGTTTGTAAATTGCGTTGCTTATTTCCTATATTGTATAATGCAAATAAAGTATACTCATTCATTCATTCATAACGTGAAGAAGTATTATAGTTTAATCGCTTTGTTTCTATATTTATAAATCTAAATAGTTTATTTCATCATCTAATATATTTTAGATAGATAAATATTTGTTTTAAATTTAATCACCTAGTCAATATAGATAAGTGACTAACATGTGATGTTCTTAATATAGAAAATACTAGTATATTATTTACAGGAATATGAAAAATTATTCTATTCAATTTTTTTATACCAAAAGCATACAGCCTGTCTGATGGTAAACGATTATTGTAGCCTATATGGACGTTCGACTATAGGATTGCCAACCGTCCTGTTTTCCCAGGACATGTCCTTGTTTTTGTAGTGTCTTGGGGCGTCCTAAATAGTTTTTAAGCAGCGTACTGGGTTTTTGAATTTTAAAATTCACACAAATATTGAAAGAGTATCTCAAAAAGACGATAGCTTAAACGTCTTGTGGCTAACATATTTCAAGGAATGCATTTCTGAGGAACAGTATGCAGAACTACGGAAAGTGGTTGAATATGTATTTAGGATACCGGGTCATAATGCTAATGCGGAGAGATTCTTTTCCCTCATAAATTCACAGTGGTCAAAAGAAAGAAATCGATTACTGCCAACAATAATAGCTGCAATAATCAAAACTATATATAACATAGATATGAAGTGTGACCAATTTTATAATTATTTGTTAATTTAATCATAGATCATCATCATAATCAAGGAAATTAGAGGGTAAAAAAATATAATAAAAAATAATAAGTTTATAATATTAAAATATGTTAGATACATACTATAACTAACCTACATATGATTAAAAAAAAATTACAAACTAAAGTATTTGTTTTATATTTTAATAACTAGTTTTTAACTCGCATAATTTTATTCAAATATTTTTATTAAAAAATTTGGATATTTTAATTATTTGAATTTCATTCAATTAAACTATTGCAACTATATTACTGCGTCCTGTTTTTAAACTGAATTGTCCTGGTTTTTCCGACTTCAAATCCTGTTTTTTTTAATTTTGAGGTTGGCGACCCTAGTATACTAGGGTGTCATGTGCGCGTTGTTTATTTATTTGATAGTGCAATTAGCTAGTTCAGTTAAGTTCGGATTGTAGTTGAGTGGTGAGTACATATCTTTTAAAAAGATTCTGCTCAAATAAATGAGACTATTTTATTGTCTAGATGCGAGTAATTTGGTGCATGAATGTGTGTTTAGATTATAAATTATTATCTCTCAATTAAATTACTAAAACTGAAATTAGGCTAAAAGAAAATTTCACGGACTACAAGATATGCTCTTGTGCTCTTGTACTGTACTGTCTTTTGAAGATAGCAAAGGCATAATATCTTTGGATCATGATCCACAGCGAAGAACCTTTCATGCGTCCTATTTCATTGGCTTATATCCGCTGAGATGGGGCATATCTATCCGATTTATAAACACGTATTGATCCAAATACAGTAGAGAAATAAGAAAAGGAAAATTGGTTGTTATTTTTTTGAAAGATTATTACAGTATGCTACCGACTGAGAATCTCATCTGGTCAAGTATAGTCAAAGGTAAGGTATAGGTTGAAGATATTTTCTGATAGAGTACTCGCTACGTATACGCTACGTATGTATATACTATATTGCTGCTTTTGTCTATAAGGTACAGTTTTCATTTTCCATTAGATGGTCCGTCAGCGTGGTTGCCATTCCATTTTACATAAAATATTTTTAAAATTTTTATTCAGCACCATTAGACGTGGTATAAATAGGTATAAGAATACACATATACTTATCTACCTATGATTTAAATCTTTCCTTACTATAGTATTTTCCGGAAGCTATATTAAGGTTAACCACGCGGCCATAAAATAAATAATTTTCGGCATCCAGTAAGATACCTAGTGGAAATTTTACTCAGGTATAATAACGTCAAAACAGAAGCAGTGCTTGTGTCGATTACTGCCTATTGTTTATTGTTTGAATTCGAAGAAAACGACCCTACCCATACAATGTAAGGCCGGTGCAATAAAGGTACCTACGGCAGCTTAACTTCAGTAAAAATGGTCACCTAAGAATGTCTGGAGGTACTAAAGTAGCTATCTGATTATCTAATCTATTTCAGTGTGTCCAACTTAACTATATCTAACGTACTAACACTACTAATGTTATTAACTTTACATGCCCATTGCGGGTCATAGATATAGGAATACTTTTGAAACTACTTTTGATATGTTATATGTGTTTATCGACCACGAGCTGTATCCTACGACTTTGCTCACATGTAAATATATAAAATATCCTATATTTTCAGTTACAATATATTATAACCCACCTATAGACTAAATTTCATTCAAATCCGTTTAGCTTTAATAGCTAAACGGATTTGAATGAAATTTAGGCGTGATTGAGTAACAAATATATAAACATATTTAGTAACTTTAAAATTTATAACATCAATAGATATAAACTCTAACATGTAGATGGTAAAACATGTACAAACAAATAATAAAACAAACTCACTTTTCCATTAAAGTATAATATTAGTAAGGAAGTAAGGATTAACATAATCATTATAATGTAACTGACATTTAACTCTTGAATAAGGAAATAAGCAAATTAAAGCAACCACATATGTAAAGTAAAAAGAAACGCGACTGTTAATTAATCCATTGTAGCCACATATAATCAGCTCACAATGGCATATTGCGAGCTGCGGGCACTTATTTGGAACAAAAACCATAGCAAAAAGTTTATGTTTTAAACATTTTTCTTTATAAAGCCACCGTATTACGCTCGTAAGGTGCGCAGGCAACATTTTATGTTTATTCAATACATTCCATGTTCGTATAAGTTTTTATAATAAAGTGTTGCGTTGGTTGCGTGCTGAGATATTAATCAGTGAAGTAGGTACTATGTAGCCTCACGCGTATTCGTTAACTGATACCAATTAAGCATTGTCTGTTTTATATTTCATTGAAGCACGCCAACTTTGTAACTGACTGAACATGAAAATACGGCAAAGGAACTAGGTAGGATCGTCAAAAGTTTATATATAAATAAGTAAACGATAAGAAAAAAACTAAAATGAAACTAGACATAAGCAAATTTAGTTTTAATTTTTCAATACTTATACATAAAATGTACATTCAATAAAGAAAGAAAAAAACATTTGAAAGAAAGAAGAACATGACTTACTCAAGACCCCCAACCACAAAATTTATGGTATAATAAATAAATAAATAAAATAAAAAAGCACGACATGCGTTCTACACGCATCCCTCGTCTCGATTCGCTCACTAACTGTTACCGCTGAAAACGTAAGCTAATCAAGCTCTGCGTCGTACTAATATAAGTATCTAGTTGCGGGGAAAGGGATTATTAGTAGAAATATACTCTATCAGGTCGACTTCTACGTGGTTTCCCCTGGAAACCACCGTGGTTAGTAATTGTTAAATTTGTCACGATGCTTTAATTGACCTGCTTTATCCTCACCTTTCATCCCTCACTGGTGCTCCACCAGTGCATACCAAAAGCACAGGCGAATTTCACATTTTCATCCATTAAAAAAAATA